TGTGGAAACTGCGCAGCTCCTCGTCATCGTTGTCCTCCTCTTCCTCCCTCCTTTGCCATAGTTCTCCTCCTCCCTCCCTTGTCATGATGGTCCTCTCCTTAGTCTGCGGGCTTTCTTTTGCGTCCACGTGGCACTTTCTCCTCCTCCTCCCCCTTCCTCCCTCCTTCGTCATCGTTCACCTACTCCCCCGCTTATAAAGTGCTCCTCCACCCCCGCCCCTCGTCCCTCCTCCCTCGTCTCTCCTACTCCATCCCTCCTCCATCTTCTTTCTGCATTTTTTTATTTCAAAGTCTGATTAGCACTGCACACACCAGGTGCACCACTGCGCACACGCCGCACACCCCCCAGCGCACTGGCGCACCGCGCGTCGGAGTGCTGCGCAGCGCACCGTGCACCGCGCACCGCGCATCAGTGCGCATACCGCCGGGGGCGCTCTACACATCGCGCGGCGCAGCACATTGATGCGCCACAACTATGATACAGAGTATTATAGACATGATTCAAAGGGTAAGGAAGATTTAAAAAAGAGGGAGTCTGATGGAATAAGGCAGAATATAACAAGGCAATAGCAAACTTGTCGACAGGAACATGTTAGGGGGGGCCAGCTTGCCAAGGGAGACAACGTGGTCCTCACCACAATATGAATGCATTTATGTCGCCTAAAAATCACAGGGACATTTCAACTGGACGCTGGGCCCAGTTTCCAGTAGGCTGTGCTCCCAGCCAGTAAAAGGAGCATCAGGTACACATACATGGTCTCAATTCCAAGGATTTTCCTTTCACCCTTGGAAATTCAATGGAGACCTTGGGGATAATGTTTCACTGAAAAGGGTGGGGGGAAGGGGGTGCGGGCTAGCACCCTTCCTGGGAAGGCCTCTTTTGGACTGGCTGGAACTCCATGAACAGACTGATTGACCCCTAAACCCGGCGCCTCATACTTAAGTATGCGCCAAGCTTATTCTGCTGGTCTTTCGCTATATGTTTGGCCCTATCAAACTCCCGGCTACGGCTGCAGCAAAGTTGTCTGAGCGGGATTGTTACATTAGAAAAAAAGGGCTGCAATCAGACTCGACTCCGGACTTGCTTTCAACATGCACACTTGAGAACCGATGGCAAAATCAAACTCTTCCAACTCAGAAACAACAATAAACTTGTATTAAACTCAATCTGAACCAGCTGTACTTGCGGCTATGGCCGCCGAACACCGTCTCTACCACCAGCCTCACTTCCCACACTCCCGCATGCACACACGTACGAGGATCACCCTGAATGTCCACGCTGCACAGCCACTCACACTCTGTACACTCTGTCTACACCAACAGCTGGGCGGCTATGGCCTCAGTCGTCTTCCTCCTTCTAGCTATGGCCACCGGTGTCTCCCTCGCTGGTTCGCTATGGCCGCTGTCTTCTTCACAGCCCACTTCCTCTCCGGGCACCTGCAGACCTCCACGCACAAGATACCAAGGCAGCTCTTCTGCATGGCTCACAGGCGAATGAATGAATGGCTGGACGCTGCCTCTTTATTTATACTGCTTTGGAGGTACCCGGGCCTGCCTCAAAACGTGTGGGCCTGGGCCAAAACGTGTGGCCCAAGGAAGTTTCCAGACGTTTGGCCTTCTGGGCCAAAACGTGTGAAACCCACAGCGTGCTCCAGAACCTTCCCCACGTGCAGCCCCTATACCCCTGGTACTTGCCGACTGCACTGGCCTACAGGGATCTACACCCTTCTAGAACCTACAGACTTACAGAGAGACTCTAGGCCTCAGTAGACTCAGATGGAGATTTCTAGAACAGGCCTTCCTAAGCCTAACGGTAACAGACCTAACTCCTAATCTACAGACCTAGGGATCAAGTCCTAGTGTCCGACCTACAGACTAGCCTAGGACGTAGGGCAGGTCTAGGGATCGAATCCTACTCAGGTCACTGGGTCTATGTACAGGTATAGGACAGGTCTAGGGATCGAATCTCACTCAGCACACAGGTTCAATGTACAGGGTTAGGGCACAGGTCTGGGGATCGAATCTCTGTGTCTGCGAAGTGGGGTCAACTGAGTGAAACCATTTCAAAAGACAGAAAGAATGAGAAAAACCTGCTTTCTATCTGGACTCGTGGGACACAGGATAGTCACAATCTACCTCTGCAGCCAATGTCGCTGCCCGACTGTAGGATAGCAGGGCCTAAAGGTTTTCCGGCTGGGCTTAAATGTGTGCTTTTTGAGAGGGAGACATAAGTTCAGAAGTAGGACATCAGTCACTTTGAGGACTCTGAGGAAGCTTATGAGAGCATACCTCCGCTGCCTACAATTTTCAAACTCCTGCTGGTGTCAACGAATCAACAATAGACGGAAAGTACAAGAGCAAGTTCACGAACACCAAACGCTTCTGCCAGTTTGCACATTGTGCAAGGTTTGCGTCAGTCGGTTCAAAGACTCTGTGCAATATTGTGAGAGCATACCTGCTCCTCCAATTTTGAAAGCCCTGCTGGGGACTCAAAAGACTCAACAACAGAGGAAAAGCGCAAGTTCAGGAACGTTGCATAGTTCAGCCCGCTCAAACCATGTGTACGTTTTTTGTGTCAGTCCGTTTGAAGACTCTGAGGAAGATTGTGAGAGCATACCTCCTCCTCCTCCAGTTCGGAAAGTCGTGGCATCAAAGAATCAACAGTGGAAAGGAAGTGCAAGTGGAAGTTCAGGACTGTCACATACTTCACCCAGTTTGAACTTTGCGTAAGGTTTGTGAGAGCGTACCTCCTCCATCAATTTTAAAAGCCCTGCTGGCTTTAGGCGCTGAAAATACTCCTCCCTCCTGAAGCGCACATCTGCTTATGATAAATGAAGTTAAGGAACGCGTACTTGCCAAAGAGGGCTGTTTCAATTTCCGCAATGCACTCTGATGCCTGATTTCAGCGTAGTTTTCTGTTCCAGAATCAATAGGTTGGATTCTATGAGCACATAAGAGAGATGCAGGTTCCACAAGCCTCAAAAAGGATACCCCCCCCCCCCCCCCCCCAGCCAACCTGTGTTCAGGTATGAGTTCCTTCTTGGTTGGGAAAATGACTGTGCCTGAGTAGCAGCTAATACCTGTCAAGGATGAGACTTGGCTAAACTCACCACAGGATGCTCCCCACTGATAGAACGGAGCTATCTAGTGCGGCAGTGCTTCATTCCTAGACGCTCATATCATCTTGGGAAGAACAGCAATGTTGATGATGTTTGGTTTGAGAACAAAAAAGGATAAGAAAGGACTAAGGGGGTACTCACACAACCGTAAAACTTTCCCAACCGACCTGTGGACATAATTGCAGTCAGATATTATACATCCAAGGCAGGCTGTAATTGCGGTCTTGAGTGAGTATGCCCTGACTCACACAGACCTGTTCAGGACAGTCTCTTAATGCATCAGAATTCCACAAAACAGATGGCAACGCTTCTTCCACTACAACACTCAAAGACACCAACGGGCCTAGATCAGATGGTACACCCCCGATTTGTTGAGCATACTGACCGAGTTCGAATCAAGAAGCAACGAGATGAACAGAAATGAACAATTCTGAATAACCTGGCGCTGGTCAGTTCGATGATGATATCTCAAGGCCATCGCGTTTTTGAAGATGAGAAAGAAACAGGAAACAACGGCGGAGGCAGGTTTTGAGTTCGTGAAGGCAAAAAAACACGCGCCGGCAAAGAAAACAGGCGCTGACTTTGAAACAGCAATTTGGGATGACAAGTATCCGTTGGGCGTTTTATGTTATTTTTCTTTCCCCATCTGACACCATGGCCGACCCCTGTAAACATGACACCCGGCCTGACACCACGGCCGTTGGTACTTTCATTGCTTTTTCGAACTCGGAGCCTGGTTTCGTTGCCAGCGCGTGTTTTTTTGCTTATTCGGTACTCTGAAGTGAAATGAACGTAATTACCTCAAGAAGAAAAGAACAACACCCAACAACGTAAGGTTTTTGAAACATAATGAGATCTGAGACTCTTCAGGAGAAACAACGGACCTGTGCAGTTCTTCCTCAAGGACTCCATATAAAGAAATGCCCTTTGTGCCAAGCTCGTGGATATCTTCCATGCCCCTGCGCTTTCTGACGAATCTCCTCAAGAGACCTTACGCAATCCGCTCTTTGGCTTTCATACCCCCTTCTTTTGTGATCGGTTCCAATCAATGTACAGGACCAGATCTCTCTCTCTCTCTCTCTCTCTCTCTCTCTCTCTCTCTCTCTCTCT